TTTTTTTTTTCAGATGCATTATTTTTATGACTTTTTACATAAGATGAAGCAGTCAATGACCCAAACCAGAACTGAGTATCAATAAAATTACAAATTTAAAAAACACACTGAGTGACAGACCTTCACAGACAGGAACTCGTTGATGAGTGGCTGAAATACAATCTCTTCACTGTCCCACACTTGTTTAGCATTTATCTCTATTCGCCCCCGGAGCTTCCACCGCTGCCGACCATACTTCATAAAGATCTGAAACATACACATATGCAAAAACAAACAAACACAAACGCAGGGTTATACAAGTAGATGAATAATAAATTAATTTTAAAATCTGGAAAATCCGGTTGGCTACTTCAAAATTATTGATAGTTTGAGCAGTTCATATAATCATGTGATGATTTTCGTAAAGCTCAGATTAATCTGACAGGGTTGAAAAGAATTGACAACTCACATCTCAACTACATAGCTATAAATGTCAATGGCTAGAGCATGAATGTGCAAGTGATGAGGCCACTTTTACAAAAACAAAACAAAAAAACAAAAAAAAACCAAAACAAAACCCACGACACAGTTAAAGAAATTTAATGTTAACAAAATACGATGAACACTAAAGTTAGAATTGTCACGTCACAACTGTATGCCTTCACCAACCAGACAACTTGCAGTGTATTTGGACTCTTAACCTTTTGAACGTAAAATTTTATTTTTCATCATTTGTACAAATTTTGACATTAAGTGCAACGAATTGTGGACAAGGAAAAAAAAAATCCTAATTTTTAAGGTCACTGTAAGGCTTCACTAAAATATTCTAATCACTTGATTCGAACTAAATTTGAATAAATTCCCTCAGTGTGTTCCTCGGATATCATGATTACGAGAATGGGACAGACAGACTTGTGGGCAGTACAGAAAACAAAATGCCTTCAAACATTCACCACTGGTGAGAATTTTTCTCACTAGGTTAAGTTACTAAGTAAGTATCCCTCTAATTTCATAACTGATCATACACACAATCACACAGGACCTGCTGCCGTGTACACTTAGAGATAACTCCACAGGGAACAGCTGAAGCAGTGTTTTCATACAGGCACTGGACAAACCCTTCTCAAAACCGCGATAAATCTAAATGGTTTACTATTTATATAGCAATTTGCTGTATAAATACTAATATTGCTTAGTGAATACTTAACACACCTTTACAATACAAGCCACAATGACCCATTCATACAGCAGTTTTCATTCTGTGTCAAATGTAACAGAGTCAAACCATTTTGTCTCATCAGTCCACAGAATATTTTCCCACAAGTCAATCATTAAGTTGTTTTTTGGCAAATGAGCAAAGGAGCCTTTGTGTTCTTTTTGGTTAGCAGTAGTTTTCTCCTTGATTTCTCCCATTTCCCCCCCAGTTTCTTTCTTACTGTTGAATCATGAACTCTGACCTTAACAGAGACAAGTGAGACCTGCAGTTTTTCAGATGTTTCCCTTGGTTCTTTTGTGACCTCCCGGATGAGTCATTAATGTGGTCTCGGATGCTCCTGGAACGGTTCACTAGTATTCCAAGTTTTCCATGTGTGGTTAATTGGTCTCACTATGGTTACTAAAGCCTTTGGAAATGGCTTTGCAACCATTTCCAGACTTATAGATGTCAGTGATTTTGTTTCTCTGGTGTTTCTTTAGAATATGGCATGAGTTGTTGCTTTTTGAGATCTTCAGACCTGCTTCACTTTGTCAAACAGGTTATATTTAAGTGATTTCCTGATTTATCGGGTCTGGCAGCAGTAAGGCCTGGGTGTGGGGCTAGTGAAATTGAACTCCGCTTCGCAAATAATGTGGTTAATCACAGTTAATTCATGATTTAATGAGGGGGCTTTAACTTTTTCCACACAGGGCAGGTAGACTTTGATTATTTCCTTTATTAAATGAAATGAACATTTAAAAACTCCATTTTGTATTATTTCAGATTACCTTTGTCTAACATTACATTTTATTTTTCAATTGTGTTTCTATGGATGGATGTGAATGGATAAATGAGGCATGTTGTATGGAAAGCTCTGAGAGCTCAGAAAAGTGCTTTGGAAGAACCTTTCCATTTATAATTTGAAACAATTAGTGTGAAGAGTCACAAATATGAGAAGAAAAAAAAAAAAGGGGGGGGCAAATACTTTTTCAAAGCACTGTATGCTGGTTGGGCTCTAATCATTACATCATGATGAAGGAGAAGGACGGCACAAGCAGAAGAAAAACCACAGGTGGAAGATAGCGACTAGTGTAGCTGCTACAACAGCATTGCCCCTTAATAGGAAAGTTGATACTCTGAGGTGGATGACCAGTTGTCCATTTTCTTCTGCTTATCAGGGGCCTGTCAGGGGGCAGCAGCCTAAGCAGAGAAACCACGGCCACCTCCTTCAGCTGAAAGAAATCTCTCCAGGGTCACCTGGGTCTTCCCCGGGGCCTCTTCCCAGTGGGACATGCCTGGAACACCTCACCCAGGAGGCCTCCTTGTCAGATGGCCAAACCACCTTAACTGGCTCCTTTTGATGTGGAGGAGTAGCAGCTCTACTCTGAGCCCCTCCTGGATGGCCGAACTCCCATCTCTAAAGCAGAGGCCAGCCACCCTTCGGAGAAAGCCAATTTCTGCCGCCTGAAGAAGCCGATCCTGTTCTTTCAGTCACTGCCCAAAATTCGTCACGATGGATGAGGAGGGTAAAAACGTAGATCGACCGGTGAGGGCATCACTTTTGCACTCAGCTCTCTCTTCACCACAACAGACTGGTACAGCGATCGCATGACTGCATCCACAGAACCAATCCGTCTGTTGATCTCAACCCTGCCCTCACTCTGAACAAAACCCGAGATACTTCCCTAAGTGAAGCAGTAACTCGACCCTGACCAGGAGTGGGCACTTCACCCTTTTCCGGCTGAGGACCATGGGCTCAGATTTGGAGGTGCTAGTTCTCATTTCCACTGCTTCACACTCGGCTGTGAATCGCTCCAGTGTGATGATGAAGCCAACAGAGCCACATCATCTGCGAAAAGCAGAGATGAGATTCTAAGGCTACGTTCACATTGCAGGCGAAAGCGCACCAAATCCGACTTTTCTGACCCTATGCGACCCATATCCAATCATAGTATGACAGTTTGAACAGCACAAATGTGATATTTTCAATCTGAACTAGGTCACTGACGTATGTGGTACTGAATCGGATACATATCTGATGTTTCAGAAAGCGACTGCTGTTTGAACGGTCATGTCGCATTAAATCTGACTTTTACGTCACTGACACAAGAGAGACGCCAATTATCAGCACCGGAGAAGCGCCCGAGAAGACATTGCGAACGCTTCCTGGCCATCCAGTGAAACTGTTGGGAAGACAATGCTGGAGGAATGTGAACATTTTATTTGTACTGTATAATCTGCAGATTCTGACAGAAATCTGCAGCTATCCTTTGAAGCACCGCTCCTCTCTAAAACAGCAATAAGGATAATCATTAGGTCATATGTAAATAACAAAATAACAAAATTGGAAAACGTAAAGTTCGAAACAAGTCTTTATATTAACGGCCATCAGTCAAACAGTACTGTTGGGTCTGGGTCTAAACAGAGTGCGTTGTGTGTGATGTCTTCTTTTGCGCATGTGGGCCACTTTGAGGAGTCACACTAGAGCACGTTTGCTGTCACATTTTATTTGTAGTGTGAACAACCAGACCAAAAAATAAGATTTAATAAAAAAATCAGAATTGAGCATTAAGACCTGCAGTGTGAACGTAGCCTGAGATCGCTCCAGTAGAAGCCTTCCGGCACTTGGCTATGCCTAGAAATTCTGTCCAGAAAAATTCTGCACAGAATTGGTGACAAAGGGCAGCCCTGGCAGAGTCCAACGCTCACCGTGAATGAGTCCAACATATATCTGGCTATGTGTGATCCCCAATAGTTTAAGCACACCCTCCGGTCCCCCTTCTTAAAGATGGGAACCACCACCCTGGTCTGCCAATCCAGAGGTACTGGCCTTGATCTCGATGCAACATTGGAGAAGCATGTCAACCAAGAGAGCCCTACAACATCCAGAGCTTTCATGAACTTAGTGCAAACCTAATCCACCCCCAGGGGCCCTTCCACCAAGGAGTTGTTTAACTAAATCAGTGACCTCACCCAAAGTGATGGATGAATCATCCTTGTCGTCCCCAGACTCTGCTTCCTCTATGGAAGACATGAGCAGGTTTAAGAAGGTCCTCGAACTATTCCTTCCACCTCCCGACAATATCCTTGTGGTCAGCAGTGCTCCACCCAAGTGGCGCACTGCTTTCCCCACCTGAGTCACCTGACAGTTTGCCAAAATCTCTTCAACTCTCTTCTGGATGACCAATGGTAGATAATAGATTCATAAAATGTAATACAAACGATGCCTTGCGCTTTTCAGAACAAGGGAGGAAATCGTGTCCTATTTAGCAAAATGCATAAAAGAGCAACATCCAGATCTGTTCAAAGAATTCAAAGTGAGTGAGTTTCAATTCAACATCCAAATTATCGCCTTCTTATATCTTAATGCTGATTTTTCAGGTGACAACATACTATCAGAATTTTGGTACTGAAAGATACAGTCATTGATTCTGGTGTCGTCACAAGCTAATACCACAGCCTAAATATCTGGTAACATGACATCCATATTCTTAGTGTTTTAATCATATTTATATTGTTGCCATGAATTCAGAGTGAAAAATGGAGGGTTTGGCGGGTGAGACAAACCTCATATTGGTCACCAGCACACAATCTAGCAAATCCTGCCAGACCTAAAAGAAAGAACAAGTGGAAACAGACTTAGCATTTTGTCAAACTGCGAAACCACCCCAAAACATTGCAATTAATTAAGGGTCATATCAGAAGGGACACACACATAACGTATGTCATATTGAGTTGCTACCTCTATTTAAGATTTTGTGTAGTCATATCACCACATGATCTCTACTTCTTACCCTTCATCTTTATGTGGAACTTCCCCAGCTGGTTCTCAAAGTCATTCTCCAACACACACATGTTCTAAAGAG